ATAGAGTGTCAGCCTGGGGACTAAAGGGCACTGGGTTCAATTCCAGGCAAAGGCACATGCCCTGGTTGCGGGCTCAATCTTCAGTAGGGGGCAAGCAGGAGGCAGCCTATCAATGATTCTCATCATTGATGTTTCTCTCTCTCTCCCTCTCCCTTCCCCTGTAAAATCGATTAAAAAATATCTATCTTTTAAAGGGACATTCTAACACATGCTATAGCATGGATGAACCCTGAGGACATTATGCTACGTAAAAAGCGCCACGAGCAGAAAGAGAAACATGGTGTTAGGAGACGAATCCACAGAGGCAGAAAGTAGGTTAGAGGTTACCAGAAGCAAGAAAAAGAGGAAGTGGGGAGTTGATGCTTCATGGTGATGGCAGTAATATGTAAACGATATAACAAATGCAATGAATGCCATGGATTTGCACAGCTAAAAATGGTAAATTTCATGTATAGATATTTTAAAACATTAGAAAACAACCCCCCCCCAAAAAAAAGTAACTAAGGGAGGAATTGGCCTGGCCAGAGTGGCTCAGGTGGTTGAGAGTCATCCATGCATCACAAGATTGCTGGTTCGATTGCCAGTCAGAGCACATACTCAGGTTGTGGGTTTGACCCCCAATCTGGAGCCTATTGAAGGAAACCAATTGACATGTTTCCCTCACATTTTTTAAATTAATTTCTTTATTGATTAAGGTATCACATATTTGTCTTCAACCTCCCATTCCAATCCCCCACTACCCCTCACTCATGCCCCTACCCCCCTATTGTCCTTGACCACTGGTTAGGCTCCTATGTGTGCACATAGACCTTTGGTTGATCTCTCCCTTTTATCCTCAGCCTCCCTCTGAGGTCCAACAGTCTGACCCATGGCTCCTTATTTCTGGGTCTCTTCTTGTTCATCAGTCTATGTTGTTCACCATTTCCCCCAGATGAGTGAGATCATGTCCTACTGGAAATATACTTATAAGAATCAAAAATGAGACAAGCAATAATCGTTATGCTGAGAGGCATATGAATCAGTCTGTAGTGAGTTTCTTTCTGGGCCACCAGTTCTTTGGAGACACAACTTCAATGTCAAACAGTTCCTCATGTGTACATTGTCAGCAATGATATTTCACTAATGATTATTTAATATATTTTTATTGATTTAAGAGGGGAAGGAAGAAATAGAGAGAGATAGAAACATCAATGATGAGAATCACTGATCAGCTGCCTCCCGCATGACCCACATGGGGGACCAAGCCTACAACCCGGGCATGACCTTCTGATTCATAGGTCATTGCTCAACCACCGAGCCACTCTGGCAGAGTTTACTAATGATTTTTATGTTTATTTTTTTAATTTCTTTATTGATTAAGGTATCACATATTTGTCCTCAACCCTCCATTCCAATCCCCCACTCCTCCCCACTCATGCCTCGACCTCTCTATTGTCCACTGATTTTTAATTAAATATTTTAATGAAAGTATTGTGGGTATACAATATCATATTAGTTTCACCAAGTTATCTCTCATTATTGACTGTCTTCTCTTCTCCTTTTTGCCCATCTCTACTCCCCTTCTCTCTGGCAATCATCAGTTTGTCCTTCATTGCTACATGTCTGTTTTTATTCCCTTTGGTCTGTGATGTGAAAAATTCCAGGAACAAAAATAAATAAATAAATTCCAAGTACTAGTGAAATCTTTCCCAGTCTGAATTATTTCACTCAGCATAATACACTCCAGGTCCATCCCTGTGGTCTCAATACCACCGATTCATTCTTTTTTTTTTTCTGATTTCTATTCCATTGGGCATGCATGCCACCTCTTTCTTACCCAGTTGTCTACAGAGCTAAAGATTCATTGCAAACCTTGTTTCTAAATTCTTTGTTTCAGTGTATGTGCCATTGATGGCAGTATGACAGATATCCCCTATCTGTCCTTCACATACCCCCTCCATCCAGCCTCACCACAGGCCTTCAATTCTTGATATAACAGCTTAGAACATTGATTTTTAAAGTTTTTTTTTATTTTAATGTTTTCATTCAGGGTTTTTAATTTCTTCATTTCGTAGGCCTGTTGTGAAGTATTTACATGGTTATTTAATCTAAAACATGCGCTTACGTTTGATTATGGAAAACTCTGTGGCTTTATTTCCAGAATGGAGGGATATTGGTTATCTTTTTTTCTTTTTCTTTTTCTTTTTCTTTTTATTGATTTCAGAGAGGAAGGGAGAGAGAGAGACCTATAGTAACATAAACGATGAAAGAGAATCATTGATCGGCTGCCTCTTGCAAGCCCTTACTGGGGATTGAGCCCATAATACAGGCATGTGCCCTTGCCCCGAATCAAAGCTGGGAGCTTTAAGTCTGCAGGCCGATGCTCTATCCTTTCAGCCAAACTGACTATGCTTGGTTATCTTTGACTATAGAACCAGGTGACTCTCAGAGGGTCCCAGGAGCTGCTAGGGGTCCAGATCTGGTCTCCAGGCTGGCTGGGGTCACCAGCTGAGTGTCCATGGGGAAAGCACCCATGCCTTCTGGGGTCCTGCAGGCCCCGTCCCTGAACTGTGGGGTCTGGATCCTTCCTGGGCTAGTGGAAGGCTAGAGCAGCGTACAAGCTGGGCTCTTCTGGGGGCTCCTCTGATGACAAGGAAGGGGATGCACTTGTCTGCTGTCTAAGGGCCAAGAGGTTCAGCTGAGCATAGGTCACATCCTGGAGGCTGTAGGATGGAGCAGCCTGGAGCAAGGAGAGAGAGAGATGGGTGACACTTGGTTGGGGTTTGACAAGCCTCAGGGCCTGGGGAGGATGGGACCCAGCTGAGTGTCCTCTTCTGCTTATCTGCCCTTCTGGTCCAGCCACCCCACCTAAGGGGAGGAAGGAGAGGTGGCCATTCCCAGCCCGGGTCTTGGTCTTAAGTGGTTCACCTGGGTATACATCACTCCCTGTCGACCGCCATTCTGCCTGGTCTGAAGGAGACAGTGAAACAGAACAGTGTCTCCTTGATTCCACAGTGGAAATCCTCCTGTCAATCATCCTCATGTTGCCAGAGAGATGACTTACACTTTAAATCGACCAGGTCCCTCTCCTGATGGAATCTGCAGGGGCTTCCTAAGCCTCGGGGCCTCTGGATGCTTCTGTGTTTCTGACACATCCTAACACGCTCTCTCTCACTCACTGGGCCCCAGCCTTATGGCCTCTCCTCCTGAAGAAGCAGGTCCTGCCTCAAACCTCTGCTTCAGCTCTTTCCCTGCCCACCCTCCCCCACCATGCACTCTACCCCCTCCTCTTGCTTTTTATTCCTTCACAGCACTTTGCTCTCTGGGACACTGTCTGCTTGTTTGCATATTGTCTCCCTCGCCTACAGGTGAGCTGAGGGCTGCACCTTGGCCCCTAAATGGAGCCAGTAAACAGTGAGCCCCTCACATCTGCGGGGTGAATGAATGAAGGGATCCTAGGACTTGTGGGTGAGTCACTTATTCCTGTCTCCTCCTGAGACCTGGGGCTGCAAAAGGTCAGGCAAAGGACGAGGGGCCAGCGAAGGGGGTCCCGTAGGAGAGACTATGGGGTCACAAGGAACTCAGGAGGAGTGAGTCACAGAAGGACGACCTGGGAGCCCAGAGAAGAGGTCAGTGTGGATGCTGCTGAGAAGCTGGTGAGGTGGGACAGGGAAGGGTCCACTGGACAGGAGCAGGGGTCTCACCCTAGCGTCCAGCTCCACGCTCTCCTCAGGCTGCGGATCCTTCACAGAAGCATCTGCTGGGGCAGAACAAGGGGGTGTCTCCTGGCAGGTCCCTGAGATCTCAGGGCTGCAGACCCCGCCTGCTCCCAGATGGGCCACTAACCCAGGGTGAGGTGAGGCACCAGGTCACACAGTGTGGGTCTCAGTCCTTCTCTCCCTGTCCCCCAGCCTCCCAGCCTAACCCTCCCCATCACCTCCTGAAATCCCTGTGCCCCCTTCTCCAGGGCAGCTGTCTCTTCCTCTCACAGAGGGGCTCCTGTTGGGTATCAGCAGCTGGGCTGCAGCTGGGGGAGGAGACAGGAGTATTAGGGGCAGAGATGGGCTGTGGATGGTGGAATTCTAGGGTCTTTGGGGCAGGAATTACATGATCTGCAGGCCTCTGTCTTTGGCCTCTGGGTGTGCGGTCCCTTCAGGAGGTTGGACATGAGCCCCTTTCTGGCCCAGTCCAGAGGGTCTGTCTCAGCCCAGGGAGGTTAGGAGCCCCTCCCCCAGGGATTCCACTGGAAAGAAGGAAACCCTAACACTCACTTGTGTGCATATTTCATGAGACTGAACGTCTGGGCTTACACTCTTTCTAGGGTTTTGTTTTTTTTTTCATATTCTGGAGAAGTCTTTTTTCAGCTGACCTTCTCAATCCATTTGGTTTCCTGTGGCAGGTGCTCTGAGCACCCCATTGTGTGGCCCAGGTCACCCCGCCCCCTACTCACCTGAGGTCCTGCATTTGCTCTGACGCCGGTGTCGGAGGTAGAAAAGAAGGAGGGAGAGCACCAGGACCAGGGCCACTGAGACCCCGATCAGGATGTTCATGTTCCATGAGGGACCTTGGACACAATTGATATCATGAACGAGCCAGTGAAGCTTTTGAATGAGCATCTACTGTGTGTGAGGCACGAGCTGGGGTCTCACTCATCTCCTCTCACCTCATGCACCAGGGATTGATGATCCCACCACCCACCTCACTGAGGCTCAGAGAGATTAACCACGTGCTCCAGGTCACCCAGCCTGGACGGGGCAGGGCTGGAACTGGAACCCGGGACTGTGGGTTCCCTAGGCTGTCCTCACACTGACCCCAGGGGGACACCAGCTACATGTCCACATCTCATCTGGAGCTGAGGGTCCTTCCTCATTACCTGCCCCCAGCACAGCACAGACAGGAGGGCTGGGTGTGGGGTAGACTCTGAGTCTCTCCTGGGTCCATCTCCCCCTTGCAGGGTCCTGATGTCCCTTTGGGAAGATCAGGCTGGGCTGGGGGCTCTGCTTTCCTGAGTATTGTGAGGCCCTTATGTCACCTCATCTCCCAGCAGCCTGTGAGCAGGATGGGACCAGGGTTGAGCAGACAGGAACCCAACACTCAGAGCAGAGAAGAGACTGCCTAGGCCCTCAGCAAGAGCAGCAGAGCCAGGAGCTGACCCAGGGCTGATCCACCCTGTTCCCTCCTCTGAGCTGAGCCTGAGCTGAGGGGGAGGATTGGGTACCTAGACCCTTGTCCTGCCTGTCCCTCCCTGTACAGTGTCACCGTCACTGAGACAGAGGGGACAGGCCCCATAACATCATGTCCTGGGAGCTTCCCTGTGAGGCCCTCTCCCAGGAGGTCAGGGCCAGAACTGACAGGAAATCTAAGCTCTGGACAAGGACTCTCTCCTTTTACACCTGGAGACACTGAGGCCCAGACAGGGGAAGGGCAGGTCCAAGTGAGAGACTTCAGAGGGGCCTGAATCCCTGCATGAATCAGCCGCTGTCCCTGTGGCGGCTCCAACCACTTCCCCACAGAGCCACTCACTTACCCGTCTGTGTGCCTGACTCTGTGGGTGGGAGAGACCGATCCTCAGAGCCTCCTGGGTTCAGGAGCAGACAGGAATGGGGTTGGAGGCTGTCATCTCCCCACATGAGCCCAGCTCCTCCTCCCCAGCCTGCACCCCCACATCTCCCTCTGCCATGACCCATCACCTGCCTCAGATCCTGAGACTCCCAGCCCCCACCAGCACACATGCCCATCCTTGAGGATCTGGGTTACACAATCCCCTGACAGACTCTCGGGACTTGCTTCCAAAGGTAGGGGGGTAGAGGGCGGGGGAAGGCTGCGCTTACTATGTGCAGAGCTCCCCAGGACTCACCAGCTGTAGAGGTGGGCCCTGTGGGTGGGAGACTGGGGCCTTCAGAGGATCCTGGAAATGAGGATGGAGAGGTGTAAGCCTCGGGCTCACTCTGGAGCCTGCAAATCACTCAGTCGCTTCTCTTCCAACTGCTCTGTAATCCCCGAAGACACTTTCACTGTCCACTTAATATTTTCCCAACCCAGTTAACAGGGGGAGTCAGCAAAAGTAAGAACATCTCTGAGGGCAGATCTCTGCTGGGTGACCAACACTCGGACCCCTCACTCTCACCCCAGCTCAGATGTCTCCTGGGGGAGGGACCTCAGCTGACTGTGCTCAGAGAGGCTAGGATCAGGGGCTCCTCACCTGAGACTGTTAGATCCAAGGGGTCACTAGGGTCAGACCACTTCTGGGGATACCTCCTAAAATTGCCATAGCATCTGAACATCCATCTGTGGCCTGGGGTCATGGGGCCCACAGGGAAAAGGGCCTGGTACCCTCTATTGGGCTTGTGCTGTGAATCCAGGGTCCAGGAGAGCCTGTGATCTCCTTCCTTAGTCAGAAGGAACCTGTCAAATGGCTGCAATGAGCCACACTGGAGGATCACGTTCCCTCCTGAGGGCAGGACAGGGCTGGGCAGGGCTGAGAGGCTGGGTTTGCTGTAGAGTCCTAGGAGAGGAAGAGGAAGCATGTTAAATGGGCTCACATCTCCCTCATGTCCCCCAGGGCTGGGCTGTGAGAGGGAGACCCCTAAGAGCAGACCCCCCCTTCCTGAGGGCAGAGCCTGAGGCTGGGACCCCTGAGTGTCCTCTCACCTGTCACCACCAGCTCCAGGGGGTCACTGCGCTCTGACCAGCCCCTGGGGCTTAGGTAGTTACAAGTGTATCTCTCAGCATAATTTCCTTTAATGAGGAACTTAGCCCAGTATCCAGGCTCCAGTAGTTTCTCTGTGTCCAAATACCGAGGACTGCCATCTGCATACAGACGGTACTCCTGAGCCTTCAGGTTCCCCTGACACCAGAGTGTCAAAGAGCTCCCATAAGGGATCACACGGCCTGACTCAGCCCAGAGGGCGGGTTTGGGGAGGGTCCCTGGAAGGAAATACAGAGGCTGCATTACAAAGACATTCCCCACCCTCATGTCTCAGGCCAGGCCAAGACACTCTCATTTTATCACCTCATCCCAAGACCTCTGTGCTCCCTCCTCAGCCCGAGGGATGAAGGAAGAAGAGGGACATGGAGCCTGCGGAGGACTCACCTGCTTTCACATGGGTCCTCAGGCCCAGACTCAGCCCTGGAAGAGAAACCTTGTGAGAGACTTGCACTAAGACGTCTGAGCTGAATCCCTTCCCATCACGGTCCGGTCCACTGTAGCTTCCTGAGCCTGAGGTTCCCCATGAACAAGGAGGGGCAGCCGCCCCTCCTGCTCCCCCTCCCCATGTCCACAACTGACCGAGGCAGAGAAGAGCAGAGAGGATGGACGTCATGGCGTCTGCTCTGAGGGCTCCCGCTCTGCGGATGGAGGAGGTCTGGGCCTGAAGGACAGAGACGCACAGGATGTGGCGAATCAGGAGCTGCTCCGCCCTTCCGGGTTTTTACAGCTGGGGACCCACAGCCAGGGGACAGCCCCTTCTCTGGCCTGGCTCTGGTTTCTCCCATGATGAGAACTCAAGAGGACTCCAGGGCCTCTAGAGACACAGCCCATATCTGGAGTCTCTTCTGACTCCCAGGATTCTCTGCCGGGTCTGAAATCCTTCTCCGGGACCCAGGTCCTTGTCCTGACTCGATCCTCTCAATAGAAATTATTAATTTCCTCTCACACACAGAATTGACTTTTGGTCTTTGACCTATTCATAAACATATTTATTGATCACCTACGACCTGCCCAGTATTTGTGCCTGAACCAGAAATGCATTTGTGATCGATCTAGGAGACCCATTGCCTATATTTTGAGAATTCTTCTTGGCAGAGTATGGGCTTTCAAAGGCTAATATTGCAATGACTTTACTTACAAAAGAGAAATGAGAGAAAATGTGGGACCATCTGGGGACCATGACTAGACTGTAGTTGAGGGGAAGGCTGTTTGAAGAGGTGGAGTCCGAAGAGGTGGGAGTGAGAATATTCTTGAAGAAAGGAACATTCTAGAGAACCCTCGAGACATAGAGTCTCTGGACCAGGGGTCCTCAAACTTTTTAAAGTGGGGGCCAGATCACGGTCCCTCAGAGAGCTGGAGGGCCGGACTATATGAACTACTAATTCCTACTGTAACACCTCGGCTGCGCTCACTGCCCAAAAAACCTGGCGGGCCAGATCAGACTTCTCTGCAGGCCGCATGTGGCCCGAGGGCCATAGTTTGAAGACCCCTGTCTGGACAATAGTAAGAGAGAGTGAGGTGGTGTCTGGTCATAGGCGTGCTCTACCTCCCCACGCCCATCCCGCCCATGTAAGGATGTGGGATTCTGTCTATAAAGCAAAAGGAATGCATAGGAATGAACTGGGATGCTCAGCCTGAGTTATGAAGATCATATGGGCCATGTATTACAAACCAACCAGAGAAATGAAATGTGTGTCAATAAAAAGGTAACAAGAACTCTAACTGAGCTCCAACCTTGTGTTTCCAGCCATGCTCCATGAATGTCTTACATGGATTTAACCACACAATACTTGCATAGCCCTGAGTAGTCACAACACATGTGCAGGGAAGAGAAATGAGAAGAAGGAACATCAGTCTTGCTTCTAGCCCTGTGCTTTAAGCTGTGGGCTTGGGAAGGAGCTTGCTAGTCCTACAGAACTCTAAGAAAGCAGCAGAGACATGTTCAATAGTAGACACTGTGAGTATGTGTGTACTATGTGTGTGCATCAGTGTGTGTGGAGGAGGGGGTTTCATGCACCTGTCTGGTTGAAGGAAGCAGAAGTGAGAGCTGAGATTGGAGTGTCCCATCTGGATGATCATGAACAGCCTTCTGTTCAGAAAGAAGAGTCTGGATTCACCCTGAAAACGGTGAAGACCATGGAAGGGTTTTGAGCAGAAAATGGACAGATTCTGAAATGAGGTCAGATGCCTATGTGGAGGGTGAACTGGAGAGGGGAGTGAGGGTGTGGAGCTCAGATCTCAGGACGGTGGTGGAGGTGACGGCTGCTTTGGGGTGTGTGAAGGTGACATCCCTCCCTGCCTTCGTGACTGGGGATATAAAGGCATCCTAAGGACAATGAGCCCAGGGGTGGGAAGGGAGGAGCCTGGGCCTGCCCAAGATGCATCTGCTCCCACAGGAAGCTCAGTGCCTCCTCCTAGCCCTGGGATGCAGGTCCTACATCTCACTCAGGTTCCCCCTGACTCTATGTCTCTGTGAGCAGCCAATTTCTCCATGTCTTGAGGTCCAATTATTTGAGTCATTGCTACTCCTTCAGAGCATCTTTGAGGCCGGATGTCACTCTCCTCTTCAAAATGTGGAAAACTCTCAGGTTTCAGAAAAAAATTGACATTCATGAGAGACCTGTCCTAAGGCAGTAACACACACAGAGACACAATTTATTTTTTTTAATATATTTTATTGATTTTTTTTGCCCCCCTCCTTCCCTCCCATACATCCCCTCCCTCCCCAGAGTTTTGTGTCCATTGGTTGTACTTATATGCATGTATAAAAGTCCTTCGGTTGGTCTATTATCTTACAGAGACACACTTTAAATAACTATTGTGGCTCTACCACAGCCTGAATGGTTGGGGGACACTTGAGCAGCCTGCTTCCTCTCTTGGTCTCACTTCCCCCATTTTTAGACCCATGTTCCAAACACCACTCCTACAAATGTGGTGAAAATTCACCCTATCTGTGATACAGGGCAGTGGAAACCAGCCCTTCAGATTTAGGTGGAGCTGGTGGCAGTTTGAGAAATTGAAAACCAGAGAATCACATCCAAAGAAGCAGAAGGAAGACTCCTCATGTGGAGTCACCTGAATCATGACAGACCCTTTCTGTGCAGTGGGAGGGGGCAGGGATCATGGTCTTTCCATCAGGTGGTGCTGTGCCAGTCATTGAGTCTGTGGGACATGGTGAATGTTCATGCCTACTTCATGTCTAATCTGTCATATTTAGTTTTCTAAACTCTACAATCACATATTGATTCTTTAAAAATAATTTTATATTTTATTTCTTTTTTAATATTTTTACTGATTTCAGAGAAGTGAGAGGAAAGAGAGATAGAAACATCAATGATGAGAGAAAGCCATGGATCAATTGTCTCCTGCAGGCCTCCAACCAGGAACCGAGCTCACAACCCAGGCATGCTCCCTGGACCGGAATTGAACCTAGGACCCTTCAGTCTGCAGGCCAACACTCCATTCCTTGAGTCAAACTAACTAGGGCAATATATTTTATTGATTTTTTTGCAGAGAGAAAGGAAGAGGGAGAGATAGAAACATCGATGAGAGAGAGAAACATCAATCAGCTGCCTCCTGCACATCCCCCACTGGGTATGTGCCCCAACCAAGGTACATGCCCTTGACCAGAATCAAACCTGGGACCCTACAGTCTGCAGGCTGACGCACTATCCCTGAGCCAAACCAGCTAGGGCTATTTCTTTTATAACAAGCTGTTTTTTGTTTCGTTGCTCATCTTCTTCATGCTCAACACACCAAGAGGATAAAAGATCTATATTAGATTGAAACATACTTGTAGTGAACATAAACCATTTTGAAATTTTAGACCGAGAATATACTCTACATAAAACATATGAAAGTCGTATGCTCACATTTCTATGCCCCTTTTGTAAGAAATTGAAGGGATATGAGAAAGAGACTTTTCTAGGTGCCCAAAGGATATAGAGAGGAGCTGTCCACGACGCAGTGCTGAATTCGCACCACCCCCTCAGGATTAACATACAAAAAGGGCAGAATTCGGGGAGATGGTTGGTGGTCCATGGTCTTAAGATAAACCTCTTAGATACACACCCATATTCCCGGTCAAGGCTGGACCAGGTCTGGGTCAGCACGACCACTTCAAAGGAGGTGATTCCTAACCGGTTAGGCTCATGAATACATTGTCAGCCTGGGAACTGAAGGGTCCCAGGTTCGATACTGGTCAGGGGCATATACCTTGGTTGCGGGCACATCCCCAGTAAGAGCTGTGCAGGAAGCAGCTGATCAATGTTTCTCTCTAGTTGATGTTTCTAACTCTCTATCCCTCTCCCTTCCTCTCTTTAAAAAAAAATCAATAAAATATATTTTTTAAAGAAAGAAAGAAAGAAAGAAAGGAGGTGAGCTCTCCTGACTTGTGAATTCGTGATGACAACCTTGAATTTCCTTTTCAGGATCACATTGATGCTGTTCACCCATCAAGAAAAGGCATGAAATCCCAGTGGAAGTTATCGTTTTAATATATTTTTATTGATTTCAGAGAGGAAGGAAGAGGGATAGAGAGAGAAAAACATCAATGATGAGAGAGAATCATTGATTGGCTGCCTCTTGCATGTCCCCTACTGGGGATAGAACCCAAACCCCAGGCAGGTGCCCTTGATCAGAACTGAACCTGGGACTCTTCAATCCACAGTCTGACGCTGTATCCACTGAGCCACACCAGCTTGGGCCCAGTGGAAGCTTTTAAAGCAGAGTCTCCGATTACTTATTTTTCAAGTGTTAAAGTGGCATTCATCAGATAAGTTCACAGGATGTGGTGGACAGGGTCCCCACAGAGCACAAGATGCCTGTCACACAGGATACCAACTCTTATCACCCCAAAAATAGAAGGTGCTGAGAGTCTGACTTGAGCCACATCCCTGAACAGGCCTCCTGTCTATACTGCCATGTTTAGTTTTCTAAACTCTACAATCACATGTTGATTTTTTAAAAATTATTTTTATATTTGACACTACCACAGATGGTTCCCATTTTTTGCAACTTTGCCCACCTCTACCCAACCTATGCCTGCCCCTCCCTTGTCCTTCACCACACTGTTGTCTGTGTCCATGGGTTATGCATGCATGTGTTTTGCCTAATATCTTCATCTTCTGTGTTCCAGTCCAAAAGGTAGTTTGATTCTGCATTTGGAGAAGAGAAAAAAAAAAACACAAGATTTGTTTTGTTGTTGTTGTTTTATTGAAATCATCTCTTGTTTATGGGTCAAAACTCAGTTTCCTGAGAGAGAGAGAGAGAGAGAGAGAGAGAGAGAGAGAGAGAGGGAGAGGGAGAGGGAGAGGGAGAGGGAGAGAGAGAGAGAGAGAGAGAGAGAGAGAGAGAGCGCACTCATTATTGGTGTATAAAAATGCCATTGATTTCTGGATAATTTTGTATCCTGCTACTTTGCTGAATTCATTTACTAAGTTAAGTACCTTTTTGGTGGGAGTCTTTAAGGTTTTCTGTGTACAATATCATGTCATCTGTGAATAATGAGAGTTTTACTTCCTCCTTTCCAATTTGGATGCCTTCTTCTTCTTCTTCTTCTTCTTCTTCTTCTTCTTCTTCTTCTTCTTCTTCTTGACTGATCACCGTAGCTAGGACTTTTAGCACAATGTTGAATAAGAGTGATGAAAGCAGACATCCCTGTCCTGTCCCTATTCTTAAGGGGAAGTGGTTTTAGTTGG